AGAGAAGGAAGAAGCTCCTCCTAGCCGGACCACCGCGCGGAGCCTCGCCGGACCACCGCCGGAGCCTCGCCGGACCACCGCCGGAGCCTCGCCGGACCACCGCCGGAGCCTCGTCGTACCACCGCTGTACCACCGCCGGAGCTTCGCTTGACCACCACCTCAAGGCCCGACGTTTAGTCCCGACGTTCTGCTGAAGGCCCAACGTTCTGCTCAAGGCCCGACGTTCTGCTGAAGGCCCAACGTTCTGCTCAAGGCCTGACGTTCTGCTGAAGACTCAACGTTCTGCTCAAGGCCCAACGTTCTGCTCAAGGCCCGATGTTCAGGCCCGACATTCTGCTCAAGGCCCAACGTTCTGCTTAAAGCCAGACTACCAACTAACACTCGAATTTCCAGGTGACGCCAGGGTACTACCAAGTGACACCGGGTCTAACACCAGACTTCTATCGAACAGTTGCTAATTGTAATCTGATCGCCCTTGGAGGCGAGTCAGCCCTTTGTAATCGACTCAAATTCTAATTGAATCATTTTTAACTGGGCTAGGCCCCGTGGTTTTTCCCCTCTTTAAGGGTTTTCCACGTAAAAAATATTGTGTTCTCTGTGTGTGAGCTAGCTATCCGTACAACGCTAAGACGTAGAATTAAAACTCTATCGCCGCGTATATTCTAGCCCGCAACAATAATAATAATAAAATATTAGTTATCTATCATGCTAATCGTAAAGGTGCATCATTTATTGAAAGACATGGTAGCAACAAAGCATATAAATTTAGCTAGTTGTGTTTACTGATAAATTTATGTATTTTAAGACAAGTAAAATGGTCTATATCTTTCCTTTAACTTGGACTATGGGTGTAAACGAGTTAGAGCGAGTTATATCTAACTCGAGCTCAGCTCACTTATATCACTGTTGGCTTGAACTTGAGCTTAAACTTGGCTCATGCATGGTATCAATTGAATGCTTGAGCTTGAATTCCTCCATAGATTATTGAAACCCTTGATGGCAACGAAGCAAGGTCGTTGGGATAGGAACTTGCTCGAGAAGGCTAAGTCATGATTAACGAAGCTCACTAAGGAATGCAGTGAAAGCAAGGAAGAAGGGACTCTTTGGAGAATGTAAAGTCCTGGCTAAAGCTCATTAGAAGATGCATAATTGTTAATGGAGTTTCGCAAGGGAAAGCGTCAACGATAACGAAGCCTTGTCGGGAGCTCATTTTTGTCATGTGGAGTAAATTTTATAATTTCATTTCAATTTTTTATCATGTATTTATTTAAATAATTTTATTGATTTAATATTTAAAGAAATTAATATAAATCTATTTTAGATTTGATTGATTTTATAAAAGCAAGATTCAAACTAATAATAACAAAAATATAGACAATCAAAATTGCAACCAATAACAGAACTGATATTTTAACAACTGAACTAAACAAACTAAGGCTTCGTTTGGGACAATTTATTTGCTGCTTTCTAAAATGGTTTTAAGTATAAAAATTTTTAATTCTAAAAATTTTTGTAGTAAAAAACTGCTTTAGAAAGCAATAAGAAAATTGTCCCAAACGAAATCCAAATATGATTGACTATATTCAATTTTTTTTTTTTAATTTTATTCAAATAATACACACCTCGATCTCTTATCGTGCCTTCAAACAACTTTGTACATAATGTTCGCTATCATAAAGAATATGCAATAATCTTAATTGATGACCATTTTATGAATGATTTGCATATTGTGATATATTTAATATTTTATTTTACATAGTACTTTTTAATTTGTATGGACCTTACATGTAAATATACTTAATTTTATAACTTATTATACTTATCTTCCTTTTTATTAGCACATACTTGTACAATTGGACTTTTTGTAGCTATCAATAGTCAATCAATTTATATAGCTTTGTATTGACTTTCAAGCTAGTTGCTTATATGATTTGAACTCTATCTTTAAAACTTTGAGAGATATTCAAAAGAATGTCATTTCACCTTCATCAAAGACATTATAGAAACAGACATGGAAAGAGATATTTTAGATTGAGGAATCTTCGATTTGGATATCAGTCCAATTTAGAAGCCGAGTTTTGATTTAAGTGTTAGTCATTAATTTAAGTGTGAGACCAATTGAAAAAAAAATATTCACGTTCATTCAAATTTAGTAATTTCAACTCTCACGTGCTTTTTTGGTGTTTTATTCTTATGTATTTCATCACAATTAAGATATGTTGATATTTTATCAGGGTTTTATTGTGTAATTGTGGGTGTTTTGCTATTCTAATGTATAGTTGTGATATTTTTATATGATTATCTCTAATTTGTATCTAAAATTTTGTAATTTTATTAAAGCATGCTCTATGTAAACTAGTGGCTAGCAAGTGTATGTTTTAATTGATAATGTCATTATGTTTTATAATCATATAACATATTATTGTATATGTTGCATTCATCCTATATTAGTATATGCTTGTTGCATGTTATATTTTTTTTGGGGATTTTACTCTAGACATGTTGTTATATATATATACCATGCAATATTATATGTTTGATCCTAAGCACTTAAAAATAATTTGTTAACCTTTTAACGTTTTATTTGGGATTGTTTTTTAAAGCGACTTTTTTTTTACAAAAATTTTTTGAAGTATAAATTTTTGTACTAAAAAACAGCCTTAGAAAGCAGTAAGAAAGTTATCCCAAATGAAGCTTAAAACTATTGATATATAATGAATTTAGTCAACTATAAAATAAGTTCTACTGATTTATTTAACATATGTTGTCTCATATAAACTACATGTCCATAATGTTTCACTTAAATAAAATGAGTTGTTATGTAAGTGTTATGGATTGCACACATGCAAGGAAAATTTAACTAGCACTCAAGTTGGTTGGGTTCATTTAAACCTTGTGCAAAAAGATGAGTTGGATCATAACTCCCACTACAAAAAAAAAAAAAAAAACCTACATTAATATAAAGACATTTTTAATCAAATGTCTTAGCATATACTTAATAGGACATCAAACCTATTAGATATAATTACAAGTGCTGCTTATATCTCTTTATCAGATGTGATTCGATCTTATTTATTTCCGATCAAATCCTTCTGATCGAACGTCTTCCGTTCCGACCTTATTTCCTTCCTTCGAATCCTTCCAATCGAACATCTCCCGTTTCGACCTTATTTCCTTCTGATTGAATGTCTCCATTGATGTTCCATCAAGCGTGCCACGACTTTCCTCCTCCCTTCTAGTTACAAAGGCGATCGAGCCTTTAGGATCTTTGTTTTGTTTTGTTTTTAATGGTTTGTTCGATTAAGATCCCATGAGATTTATTGCTTTAGATTCTTGTAGTCTCTTCATTCCTTAATGTCCACAATTTTTTTTTCTTTAGAGATGACCACATTTCTTAACGGGAGATTTTACATGGAAATTAGTCAACGGGCTCAAGCTAACGATATTGATATATGCTATAATAACATAATCATTGTACATAACTTATTTATATCTAAATAGTACATATATACTTGTATTTGGTTTATCACTTCAATATTTATCTATTTTTTATGGATTAATTAGTTCTTGTGAGTGTAATATAAATATATCATATATATTTTATATATTTT